CACTTCCGCCCCTCTCACACCCATCTGTGATGTGGTTCCTGGAGCAAGCTGAGGGCCGCACAGAATGAACACTTAACAGCCAAATTCTGAACCATGGCTGCACTGGTTTTGGGGACTCGATTCTTCGGGCTCATTCTTCAGATATTCACACAAGTGCATACAACACTCATGGCTTCAGATACACGCCCCCCTAAACTCACTCACTCGCTCCTCTGGCTAATAAATGTGCTCTATGAAGAGGGTTTTTTTAAATAAACACCATAGTGTGTCACATTGTTGATATAATATGATTTGTTATGTTTTTTTTCCTCATCTTCCCTCGTGCACAGTAAAAAACTAAGTGTAATTTTAACACCTACAGAGTTTAATTTAACTCTCTTTCATATAATATTTGGTCCCACTCAAAATTAGTRTAAAATGTACTTTGTAGCCAGTGTAAACTTTTCAGAGTTAATTTTACTAATTTTAGTGTCAAAATCAACAATGATTTGAGTAAAATTATTTAACACTATAGCTCATTAACACTCTATAGAGTAATATTGTTATTTTTATGGAGTTAATTTTACACTACACTTTATTTAAAAAGTACACTTTATTATATAATACTAACAATTTTTTTGTTTTCTTTTTTACACAGAGTGAGTCAAAGCACACAATGTTCTGCACTCTAACCTAGAGTTAATATCATTTCTTGAAGTGAAGCATTAACACTGGTCATCAGTTGGCAAAACAGCACAAAGTGTGAACTTTCACACACCATGAAGTACCTCTCACTCATGGTGTCGACTTATGGCAAAAAAAAAAAAACACAAAACTTAAACGTGAAAAACTAAACAACCTGAACAAGAAAACCAACCAGAAAAAACACATTTTTACACTCATGAACATTTTTAATAGTCTTAGACATGCAAACACATCATTTCTACAAGATTACACAGCATTCCTTGCTGAGAAAATTCTGGTCCATGAGGAAGAGGGTGGGGCTTTTCAAAATACTTCTTTCAACACTGCATTGTGTTCTATAATGACACTGTTAAGTGTTAGTCAAGACTTAACAGTGGGCAGAGCTTATTTAACACTGTCCAGAGTTGAGACAACACTGATGAAATCAACTCTGTGAATTAACACCAACACTGGATGTCARTTTGCTCAGAAAGTGTTAAAATAACACTTGGGGAGCTGAAATTAACTCTTATAAGTTTAACACTGCAAATTTAACACTCCATTTTTTACCACATGTGGTTTTTAGTTTTTCCGTTAAGCACCTGTTCTCCTGTGTTTGTTATGTTCTGTCTTCTTCTGAATGGGTGTCTGAACTGTAATTTCATTGTGCTCTGTACAATTTGACAGTTTGCACATCGAAACACTACCTCTCAATCATAATAATAACCAATAATAATAATAATTGTTCAGTGTTTTTTTTTTCCTGTACTGGACTTAATTTGGGTGGCTGTAGTGTAGTGGTAGAGCAGCCAGCTTTGGGACCCGCAAGTTGCCGTTATCAGTGTGTGATTGTGTGTGTGCATGGGTGAATGTCTGTAAGTGTAAAGCGCTTTGACTGTCCTGGATGGATCAAAAGGTGGTATTTAAGTACAGTCCATTTACCATTTACATTTAATGACTGAGTCTGAAACAATTTGCACACACCCGAGTTCGATTCAATTTGCACAGACTGAGTTTGACTCATTTTACATGTCATGACTGTTATTTCCTGTAATTTTGTATCTTTCTGCACAGTAGCTTACTTYTACTTTAATTTTTTGTCCAATTTCACCATTATAGTCCGGTACGGTAATTATTATTCTTATTTTTATTTTGATCTATGTTTATTTTTTATTGTTACTATCTTTAATTCTATTATTTTTCTTCTAATTCTATTATTATTTTTCCTGTATGTACCTGCTGTTGGTACTACACCTGAATTTCCCTGCGCGGGACAATAAAGGCTGTTTCTATTCTATTAAAGGTCTAATCTAATCTAATGTAAATTGTGTGAATTTTGTAAATTGTTTAAATTTTTCGATGGTGTTGTGTCTCAGAGCTCTTTATATCACTAAAAAAATCAAGCTCAGATGCTTGTGAGGATTAGTTCACCAGGTGAGCTCAATTTTAAAGAAAAATAAATAAATCATGATGTTCCACATTATTAAGCATAACACCATTTTCAAGCAGGAAAGAAAAAGGCTCTGATGCTGAAAAGCATGAAATACTTGAATGCCCTTGATATTTCATGAAAACTTGAGCGTGATCATTGTACTGTTCAGAGATTAGTGGCTGATTTAGAGCACGCCTGCGGATCATGCAGATAAACRCACAATAAGATTTCTAACAAACAAGAACATCAGATTAAGAGAGCCGCTGCTAAAATGCCATTAGCAACAAACACAAACTGAAGCTGCTCRTGCCTCTGGAGTCCAGCAAACATCAAGGTGTAGGATCCCAGACTAAAATCATCTTCATTACAGTCCATCATCACATTCTGCAAATAATACATCATCGGCTGCTATGGGCATAAAAGGAGAGAAACCCCTGGTGTGGCTCCCCTGACCTCAACCCTTTATTAAAAAATATTTGGAGCCTCAAGCAAAAGATCTTTCAAGGTGTGAGGCAGTTCACAGTCAAACCGAAGTTGCGGGAAGCTTTTTTTTTTTTTTTCACGTCCTGCAAAGAAATTCAAGCAGAAACTCTCCAAAAACTCATCAGCTCAATGGATCCTAATCCTATGTTGAAATGTAACTTGATCTTTTAGGATGTTGTTGATTTAAAATAGCTTTTCGTTTCAGTAACTATGACCTCCTACTGCTGCAAATTCAAATGACATTTTTTCAGGTCTTTACAACCTCTTTTGAAACTCTGTTGTGTGTAATAATTTGGAACAGTACATTTTAAGTTTTTTTTTTATTTTTCAATAACATTTGAATTGAAAATTATGCTGACTGTCATTTGCTTTGACTATTTGGGAACATCAGAGAAAATAATAATTTGCTTATTTGGRTACGAATTGTGCGTGACTGCTGAATACAAAAATATCCAAGATTAAACTGAGAACACACAGTTTTGAAGCAAAGTCACCAACYGATTAATCATTTCTGTTTGAAAACAATGTTTGCTTTTTCTTCTCTCCTCCAGGGATCGGGAAGTTCATTGCCCTGGACTTTGCACGTCGTGGAGCTCGTGTGATCCTGGCCTGTCGAAGCGAGGCCCGGGGCACGGCGGCGCTAAATGAAATCAGGCAGATTTCAGGAAACCCAGACGTCCATCTGCGACTGCTGGACGTCTCSTCCATGGACTCAGTCAGGGAATTCGCAAAGCGATTTCTGGAGGAGGAGAAAGCTCTCCACATCCTCGTCAACAATGCCGCAGTATCAGGTGATACGCATCAGCCACGTGTGTTTCATTGGGATTGGCACTTTTTTTTTTCAAATCTACAAACAACACACGAGTAATTTAAGATCTTGCATGCCTTAAAGGAATGCATGTTGCTGAGGTCATCTCATCAGGAAAGGGGACATATTAGTTTTGGCCAAATCATTAAAAAAGGACTAAATTGGTTCCAGAATGTGTTTGCTCTCAGGGTATGTGTAGTAGATGACTCTCAGCTGCTGCTGTACCAACTTTTAGCATAATATTTGCTAAACTGGCTGGGTTATAGCTATTTAGTATGTCTTGGTGAAGATCAGTAGCAGTTTTGAATTTGGTTAATTCTTTCATAGAAATGGACCCAATGGCTCATCAAATGTTTTGTTAATGTAACAAAGGAACACATTCACATACCCACAGGTACTGCCCAAAAGGTCATCACCCTTGTACCTTCCTAGGCAATAATAATGCCCACAAACAGAATTTATGTCAGGTTTGGACCAACACAAACTTGTCTCACAGTGAACTTTGTCCCGAAGCACCTGTGAATCAAAACAAAGCTAATAAAGCTTTTTAGATTTGTGGAGAAACTGGGAAAGCGCTGACTCTGCAGAAAGGCCTCGCCACTCAGTTTGACCCAACTTTTGGACACACAGTATTAAAGCGATAAGATGTGATCTCATTTTGATAACAAACAGCTTGTTTTTTACTGTTAGTGAAACGAGTAAATTGACTTGCTTACAAGATTTAGAAMTTGGCAAGAGCACCAGAGAGAACAACAAAGGGTTTGTCTCAGACCAGTGGTGTCACTAGGCCTATTTTAGGGGGGCTGGAGCCTCCCTAAAAAAATTTAAAGCCCCCCTAAATTATTTTACGATTTTACGATTATTAATACGATGATGTTTTGGGGTATTTTTGAATTGATGTTAAAATATTATTTGGCCTTGAATGATTTAAAAATAACTATGGAAAAAAAATAATCTGAAAGTGTAGGTGCATTGTTCTCTAAATAAATGTTACTGAATTTATACAATGCACTGAATGTGTG